CGTGCTGCCCGGGCTGCAGGAGGGTCCAGCCCCCCAGGTGCGGCGTTTGCCCTTCGCTTCCTAATTTTTCTTAACACGCGCGCTCTAAAATTGGTAAGTGATTTGCAGGCTTCGGGTCAGGGTCTAGATGGCCTGTAATAAAACTCTTAAGGGAAGACTGAAAAGGTGGGAAAACTGTTTTTAAAAAAAATTTTTTTTTTAATGCTTTCTCGTGGTAAAAAAGCTTCTACATTGGACTTTTTAGTTTTGACGTGTCTGCCTTTGAGCTGTGGGGCAATTATGTTGTAGCCGTAGGCGGTTGGAGTTTACACTTGATTCCCTTTCCTTATGAGGAAACGACAGTGGCTAGGATGACTTTAAAGAAAAAAAAATAGTAGAAGCATTAACTGAAATCCAAAAGTGTTTTTTTAAAGGCCTGCAGAGTTGACACAATACAGAAGGTATTTTTGCCGCTGCTCCTGAAGCTCTGACATCACCCAGTGAAATAGGAAACATTTCAGGGATGGGACAACTTGTATTTGTCCCTTTTGCTCCACCTTCCATTTGCTTTCTCTGGACACCTTTAAAAAGGATGAATGGGCAGGATGAGTTTGAGTCTTTAGATGTATCATGTACTAAATCTTTAAAATGAAATTAATCTGTTTTGACTGCTTGCATCCTTCAGTGCGATTTTTAATGTCCAAACCAAACTGAATCCTCTGTAGGCAGACAATTTTGTTTAAATCCAGAATGCTTGTTCTGAATTACCATTCTTTGTTTATTTTCAGGCATCTGGAGTTACAGTGAATGATGAAGTCATCAAAGTTTTTAATGATATGAAAGTAAGGAAATCTTCTACACAAGAGGAGATCAAAAAAAGAAAGAAAGCAGTTCTCTTCTGTTTAAGCGATGACAAAAGACAAATAATTGTAGAGGAAGCAAAGCAGATCTTGGTGGGTGACATTGGTGATACTGTAGAGGACCCCTACACATCTTTTGTGAAGTTGCTACCTCTGAATGATTGCCGATATGCTTTGTACGATGCCACATACGAAACAAAAGAGTCTAAGAAAGAAGACCTAGTATTTATATTCTGGTGTGTAAAAACAAAAGAAAAAAGTACTTTTAAAATGCAAGGATAATTATTATCATAGTCAGTTTTGCCTTTGTTCTTTTTATAAGTGAGATTCAACAATTGTTTTTTTGTTTTTTTTGTTTTCATAGGGCTCCTGAAAGTGCACCCTTAAAAAGCAAGATGATTTATGCTAGCTCTAAAGATGCCATTAAAAAGAAATTCACAGGTACAAATATTGACTATTTTGTGTAGAGAAATTACTCTTTTCTAAGTATAATAAGATAATGGAATATTTTTTCTTTTTAGGTATTAAACACGAGTGGCAAGTAAATGGCTTGGATGATATTAAGGACCGATCAACACTTGGAGAGAAATTGGGAGGCAATGTAGTAGTTTCACTTGAAGGAAAACCATTATAAAATGACCATCAAGTGCCATCTGGATCTTAAGGGGTTTCATTTCTCCAGCTCAGTCCATTGGAATAGCATTAGGTGTTTTTTCATTTTTTTTTTTTCCCTTTCCTCTGGGCCCTTCCAACACATGAATGGAGGAGATATCATTCATTTAAGCAGCCTGTCAGTGATTGCCATTAGACTCTTCAATATGGTTATTTTTATGTAGAAGGAATGCCTTCCTGTCTTTATTTTAGCCAAAACAACTGGTTATATGCCTCCTTTGCAGCAAGCGCTACAATGAATGTGATTGTCAATGTGAATAGTCTAGAATACTGCAAAGGGTAAGCAGATTGAATGCCTTGAAAGTATTATCCACTGGTCAGATGGTGAACTTTTTTCAGTATTATTATAGTTGCACTTGATTGTAGTTCTGTGAGGCGCTGGAGCATTCATACACCTCACCTGCCTTGGCAAGCCTTCTTTTGTGACATGGCAGCACTAATATAACACTATGCATTAAAAGCACTTTTTTTTTTTTTAAATGAGTTTAATCCCCCCAAAGGAATGCCAATTAAGTTTCATTAACTGTGTCATCAATTTATCCTAGTACCTCAGTGTTCGTTCCTATTACCTACATATCTTCTTAAAAGAAATATCTGTTATTAATGCCTTTTTGTTTTCCATTGAGTGTACACTACTGAATAAGTGTAGGAGTTTTATGTTTACCATGTGAGTCTTGCAACACTAAAGATATTTTGAATATCAGTCGTGATGGCAATTTCTGTATAAAAGAGCCTTAAATGGAACATTGTTTTGAGATCAAACTCCCCATCCTCACAAAAATGGCCACGTTGAAATAAAAATTGTGGCATGTTACAGAACGTTGCCTTGTTTTCCTTGGAAATTTTGCAAAATGTTATGTAGAACCACTTTTAGGGTAAACAGCTATAAAGTTCTGCACTGGTCATTTGAGAACTTTTTTTGTACAACATTCATGCATGATATTTTCCAGATTTGTTGTATTTCTTTGGTTTAAACAATATTCTATCCTTAAAGACACCTAATATAAAATACCATTAGTAAAGAGTGGTACTTTTTTAAACATGTTTATTTATTTCTTTATGTGTTAATATGGAGAGCAGTTTTTTTGGCTTTTGGTTTTGTTTTTGCACTTTGACATAAATATCCTCAATATCTCATTTGTTCTCCAGTTATTTTTTTATTCACATTTACACTTAGAAATAATTGAGTAGAAGCAGCAGGAAATTTTTGTTGCTTATTGGGTCAAAATAATAATTTGTTAAATGTCCTTTAAAAGTTTAATGCTTCTGTTATTTAGAAATATTCATTTTCACTACTGTAATAGAATTAGAAAAGAATTGGTAGTCTTAAACATTACTGGTGGGATTTGGCAGTGGTCCAGATTGCTCTCCTTATAGAGAATTTGATCTACTCAGTGTGAGCAGTTTGCTGTTAGCCAGAGCTATTTATGGCAAACACATGCTTTTGTATCTTGTCATAGTTATCCACAAATGGCAAAACTGGACTTGATTCTACTGGTATGCAAAATAGGCATGCTAGTAAGCAGTGAATTGTGGCCCAGTACTTAAGTCCATGTTTCTGAAGAATGCTTTTGTCAGAAAGAAATGAAAATATCCCTTTTTAAACATTTTTTAAGCATTTTTTAAAGTATTTAGAAGTAATTTGAGTTTAATTAGGTTTTTTTTCATATTTTTAAAAGTTTTTAGATAAAAACGTTAAAAAGATTATATGTCTAGGCTTCTATTTAAAACTGTATGAATGGCTTGGGATCTTTTTTGCACTGAGCAGTTTTATTTTAGGTTTCCAACTGTCCATGTGAGTTGTCTTAGACATTTTGATCACTTTTTGGAAAGGCCAAATTTTTAATAATCAAAGCAGGAGAATACTAATATATACTAAACCCTATGTGTAACATACTTGCACCATGGCATTTTTCATTATTTCCTCATTCTTCTAGAAAATAAGGGAGTTCTAAAAAACAAATCAGTTATCAGAGTATCTTTGATCTTTATAACTAATTCCTTGAATTCCTTATATGCTCTTTAATAATTTCAGAGATTAAATAACTTCTTTAAACTACAATATTTTGATTTGTTAGATTGACAAAATAGATATTAACATAGTTCTTTTATATATATATACATATATATATACATATATATGTGTATATATATATATACATATATATGTGTATATATATATATATTTTTTTTTTTAGCTGGACATAATATCTTTATTTTTATGTGGTGCTGAGTATCAAACCCAGTATTTCACACATGCTAGGCAAGCGCTTTACTGCTGAGCCACAACCCCAGTCCTAATTAAGTTCATCTTTGAAATATACCTTTGTGCACAGAGCTAAAAATAATGATATCATTAATAATAGATCACATGTTGACTAATTTGGCATTTGAAATGATCATTTTTATTTTATAATCATTTATAATGAAACAATGTTCCAGTTAGCTTTAAAATATATACGGTGCTAATTAGTAAAATATATTAAAGACAGTATTTTATTGCTAGCTTGCGAAATTATAAGTGTTTAAAAAATAAAATACGTGAAAATATTTAAAGCTGTTAAGATGTATTTACTTACACTTTGGACATTACAAGGTTAAAAATTAAGAGCAAAGAGGCACCATTATCTGTAGTCTTTTTCAGGATTTTAGTTGATGAACTTTTTCATGTAGAGATATATTTTCTTTGAAAACCGAATGTTGAAGTAATTTTAGCATTTTCAGACAAATAGGAACAGTTGGCATTTGTCCCAAACTGGCTGTCAGCTGTCGTTTTCCATCATTATCTAAAATAGTGTGACCAGCGTTGTGTATTTAATGTGCCTTTATACTAGATTAGAAGAAAAGCCTCTTAGTAGTTTTGAGTTTCTCTGATATAGATCCTTTGTAGCAGCTAATTTATGGAATCCAACAAATGGATTTTGGGAGAAAATTCTTTTAAAAACTGTTCTCTTGTTAAGGAAAGATCTCAGCAATGGAAATCATTGAGGGGTTTGACACACTTTTCGCTAGGTTTTCCTCTTTTATAAAATCATGTTCTGTTCTTGTTTTTGTTTGTAATGGTAGTTGGAGATAAAAAAAATGTGAATTTTCACTTTTTTATGAAAATATTAAACATTACTAGAGATGTATAGGCAGGCTCCACTGAATATTGCCTTTCAGACAACATAAGTTTAGAGCTATTGTATCTTAGGCAGTAAAGAAGTCAGGTTCTTTTCTCTGAAACATCCAAATAATTGCTTGCTTTCTGTGTACAATTGGAACTTAACCCTCCAATCCAAATTAATCTCTCTGACCCTTAGATTTTTTAAATTAATAACATGGGAATGATAATGTCTGTACTGTATCTGGTTGCTGAGTCAAATATAAAAATGCTTTTTGGAAATAGGAAAATGCTATGTAACTGTAATAATTTGTTTAAACCATGTACCCTTAATAAGTATAATCACATAGATGAAAGAACTGTGTTAAAAATAACATATCACTGAGCCTCTATTTTTATAACTTCCATTTATTTACATGAAGACTGATTGGCTGATACATAGCATCTTTTTCAGAAGTATAAAATGTATTGTTAGCTCAGAATTACAGCTTCTGGATTGATGTCCATGGCTACTTTTTTTTTTTCCATGACTGCTTTTAATCTTTTTAGTGTAATTTTCTTTTTCACGTGTGAATAGACAGATAATAGTCTTTTTCCCAAAATAATTTTGAAGTAAAGAGAAAGCTAGAAAGCTATGGAATATTTGTCATAAATGTATGATCCAGGTTGTTGAAATATCGTAACTTTTTTTTTTAAATGTTTTTTGTTACTGGGAATTGAACCCAGGGGCCTTTTATCACTGAGCTATATATCCAACCCTTTTTATTTTTTCAGATAGAATCATGCTAAGTTTCTGAGGTTCTTTCTAAATTGCTGAGGCTAGCCTCAAGTTTGGGATCCCGTCTCAGTCCTTTGAGTCATTGGGATTACAGGTGTGTGCCTGTGTCCAGCTGAGTTTTTTATTTTCTTTAGAAAGTTCATGCCCATGAAATCGGAAATATTTTGTTTCCAAGATTTTTTGAATGTGTCAGTATTGTAAATTTATAGAATTGTGAAAAATAAGGATTATATATACAGTTCTAGAAAGCTAAGATCTCATGCCTGTAATCCCAGCTACTTGGGTGGCTGAGGTAGGAGGATCACAAGTTCAAGGCTAGCCTAGGCAACTTGGTGAGACCCTGTCTCAAAATAAAAGGGCTGGGGATGTAGAGTGCTTGCCTAGCATTTGCAAAGGCTTGGGTTTGATCCCCAGTACTACATACATTTTTTAAAAAGAAAAAAGCATATCTCTTAATCCTTTTCCAAAAACTTGGATATATCCCTTCCCATGTTCCTCTACCCGTTTTTTCTAGAAAGATTACTGTATTTATAGTGGTTAGGTACTAGGATTTTGATATCAAAGACTGCCTGGGTTATCAAATGCAGACCATTAACACTAGTTGATTTTAGGCAAATCATTTAACATCTGAAAGCCTTAATTGTTCCATCTTTAAAATGGAGATAATTGTGCCCCCTATAATAAAATTGGGGAATAAATGAAGGCACTTGTAATACTTCCTGGCACATAGTAAGTGCTCAGTAGAATGGTGCTAAAATTTTGATCCAATCATGTGTCATGACAACAAGCTTAAGATAGGCCAATCCCAAACAAATTAGGAATTGTGGTCATCATATCAAAAAGGAACCAAGCGAAGTGGCGCACACCTGTAATTCCTGCAGCTCAGGAGGTTGAGGCAGGAGGATTGTGAGTTCAAAACCAGCCTTAGTAATTTAGTGAAGCCCTAAGCAACTCGGTGAGATCCTGTCTCTAAATAAAAAGGGCTGAGTGCCCCTGGGTTTATTCCCTAGTACTCAAAAAAAAAAAAATAGGCTGATATTAAAATGTAATAGTTTATTTATAATGAGCTGCTTTGAAGACTCAAGGTCATCATTTATTTATTTCAATTATATAAACCCATGAAGTATATTAAGTACAGTAATTAACCTCAGAAGAATTGACTTTGCCTTTTTATAGCTTTCTTTGGGGTTTTGATACTGGTAAACTGTCAGATACTATATTTTGCTGTTGTAGTATGCTCTCTGTAGCACTTGCTAATTGTTGCTTTTGGACCTCATGGGCTAGGAAAACTGGGTTCATTATAACTGTATAAGAAAGTGAATAGACTGAGAAGTGAAGGATTGAGAGCAAAATGCTGGAGCATTTTTTTTTCCCCATTTAAAGATCTGGGGTGGACTTTTAGGGTCTTGGTTTTAATTTTTTTTTTTTTTTACAAGTAAGGTTTATAAAATAGCTGAGCTTTACATAAATACTATATCCCACTGAGGTATATCTAAAATATCATTAAGGAAGTCATATTTGCCTTTGTAGCTGTATCAGTAAAAAGACAGAAGAAATTAGTTTCATTATTGAGAGAAGGAAGATTTAATATTATTTGCAGAGCTATGAATCGAACCCAGGGCTTTATACATGCTAGACAAGCACTACTGCTGAACTATACCCCCAGTCCTAAGGAAGTTATATTCTCAATAATTTTTTATATTATTGAAGCAAGTAAATAAGACACAAAAACTCATAACAAAGTAATCTAAAAATATAGCCAGGCTCTATAGCACCTGCTTTAATCCCAGCGACTCTGGAGGCTGACAGGAGGATTGGTAGTTCAAGACTAGCCTTAGAGGTTGAATGAGACCCTAAGCAACCTAGCAAGATCCTGTCTCAAAAAATAAAGAAAGGGTGGGTGATATAGCTTGGTGGTAAAGCAACCCTGGGTTCAGTCCCCAGTAACACCCCACACATACAAAAAAAAATGCTGGCAAAGTTTGGTAGCACACATCTACACATATCTGCTACTCAGGAGGGAGGCAGGAGGGTTTCTGGAGTTTTAAGCCCAGCCTGGGCAACATAGATCTATCTCAAAAAATAAATAAAATGCCAATTGACTTTGAGTTTATTTGATTTTTCTTACATGTACCCTAGACATGCTTACTAAGAAGTAG